GCCATGGAAGCCCAGTGACAGCCATTACGCTAACTGCTGGTCCCAGGACACATTTTTCAAAGACGAAATCTAAAATGCAGAGTAACATCGATGCTCACAGTTAGCAGAATGTGGAGCTATTCAGGAATCGCAGAGAAATGCATTTTCACAGAAATCAAGATGTTATTTTTGTATACTATATCACTTAGACAACAGTGTTTCATTTGTAATCAGTTTTTAAAAGTTAGATGGAAAAAGCAACTGAAGTCCTAGAAAATAGAAACATAATTTTAAACTACTTTATTCCAATAAAGCTGGAGGGGGAAGGGGAGTTTGATTAAAGTTCTTTTTGTTTGTTTCAAATTCAATTCAGATTAACATAAATAGTGGAAAATGCCGTATTAAAGAGGGACATGTGGAGGAGTGAAAAAAAAAATGTATATACAGCCAGCCTTGTAGCCTAGCAGTTAAGGAAGCTGGATCCCACATAGCTTACTGCAGTTCAGGTCTGGCGCTGGTGCCTCACAAAACATACTGACTGGGGGCCGGCAGGTGGCATGGTATGTTAAGGGTGATGGACTCCCACATGGCTGACCACTGTTCGAGTCCCGGACCTGGCGGCCTACTTTCTCCCTTTCCTCTCTCACTCACTCATTGTCCCTCTTTGGTCACATTCAAAATAAATAAGGTTTAAAAATAAATAAATAAAGTTAAAATAATTCTTTTAAAAAAACAAAACAAAACAGAAAACAGACTGACTACATATGTAGTGCATGCCCAAAATCTAGACAGGATGGAGGAATGAAGAGAGGACTGAGGCCTGGCCACACTCCACTGAGGGGTGTTTTCTCTGTGTTTCTGGCAAGTGCACATACCTTCTAGTTATTAAAAAAATGCATTTACTTTTTTTAAAGATTATTTTACTTTATTTTCATTTGACCAGAGTGAGAGAGAGGAGAGAGAGAGGGAAAATGAGAAAGCAAGTCCCCAGGTCCAGGACTCAAGCCATAGTCGGCCTTGTGGGAATCCAGCTCCCTTAAACACCATGCCACTTGTCGGCCTCAACTTTTTTTTTTTTTTAAGAAATTTTTTTTGCTCTAGGGTGCATGCTCTCACCAGAGAGAAAGAAAGTGAGAAATCACCCCCCGGGCAGTGGCCACACTGCAATCCCTTCTCCTCCAGTCTTTAAAAAACAAAACAAAACAGAAAACATACTGACTACATATGTAGTGCATGCCCAAAACCTAGATAGGATGGAGAAAATCTCCTCTTGGGATTTTGGGGGCACACACACACACACACACACGCCTGGCAAGAGTTTTAAGCCTCCAATTCAAGGACTCAAACAGCAGTCAACTATGTGGGAGTCCGGCAACCTAACCATTATGCCATCTGCTGGTCCCAATGCACGTAAACTTTTAACACTAAATATGAATCCCCAAACTTTGACATTGACACTTTCACTCAATAACTTGTGGCTTTTCCATCTCTTACTATACCACCATGCACAGACTTGACCCTCACTGTGAGCTGCTCAGATGCACCACATTTGTGGCTCCCACTGACTCCCTTAGCACACATTCTTTAACTGGGCAATTAAGAAAAGATGCTCAACTTTATTAAAAATAGACTGATTCAAAGTAAGGTGATGCCACATTTTCCTTAAAAACACACTTGAAGGGACCGGCAGTTGGTGTAATGCCTACGTCTGGACTCCCATGCAGTCGACTGCAGTTCAAGTTCCAGACCTGATGGCGCAGACTCAACGCTGGGTGCATGTGCGTGCGTGCCCAAGATCCCAAGAGGAGAATGGAGGAGAAGGGATTGCGGCATGGCCATCCCCCCGGAGGGTGATTTCTGGCTTTCTGTCTCTCTGTCTCTCTTTCTGGCGAGCGCATGCACCCTACAGCAAAAACCTCTCCAAAAACAAAACAAAACAAAAAACATTTGTAAAGGATATGGAGAAACCAATGTAAAGAAAATTAATAGGACTTTCTAAACAACTTGGCATCTCCTGTCAAATTAAAAATATACATTCCCTTTGGCACAGCAATACCATTTAGGAAATCACTGGCAGTACTTCAACAGCAGACAGGCAGAAAAACGACACGCTCGACAGTGGATTACTGGGCAGATTTTTATGAACAAGACCTACACATGCCAATAGGGGAAGATGTGCATGGTGGAATGAGAGGAAGAAGTAGGCAACACAATAGGTACAGTATGACCTTAAAATCAGCAAAAACAGGGACCAGCAATTAGCGTAATGACTGTGTCGCTGGACTTGCATGTAGTCGACCACGGTTCACGTCCAGGACCTGGTGGCTTAAAACTCACGCCAGGCTTGTGTGCATGTGTGCAGATCCTGAGAGGAGAACCGAGGAGAAGGGATTGCGGCATGGTTATCCCCTATGGGGGGTGATTTCTCACTTTCTGTCTCTCTGTCTCTGTCTGTCTGGCAAGCACACACGCCCTATAGCAAAAACCTCTCCAAAAAAAAAAAAAAAGAAAAAAGAAAAATCCAAAACTTTCTCATAACAGACAGACATTTCTGGGTGCAAAGGACACTAAGTAGGGACTCATTTCTGGGAATATAACTGAACAGCAGGGGGATTTTTCTTTAAGAATTATTTTATTTTATTATTATTAAATTTGACCAGAGAGACCGAGAGTGATCGAGAAAGTGGAAGTGAGAATGCAAGCCGCCAGGTCCAGGACTTGAACTGCAGTCAGCCATGTGGGAATCCAGCACCTTAACCACCATGCCACCTGCTGGCCCCAGCAGGTGACTCCATTAACTCATGCTTTGAGCATTTGAATATCTAATTAACACAGTGCATAAAGAATAGTGTTAAGGGGTTTGAGTTTACCAGAAAGCTCATATTATTCTTAAGTATTTCTATCAAATCCAAGAGAGAAAACTGAACAAAGATCAGCATTATAGCCTAATGGTTAAGGGAGCTGGCTGCTACATGGCTGACACTGGTTGAAATCCTGCCCTCAGCAGCTTGAAAAACACATTGGATGTGTGTGTGTGTGTGTGTGGGGGGGGGCGGGGGAGCATGCCCCAAATCCCAATAAGATGGAGAAATGGAGCAACAGAGATTTTTTTTTTTCTTTTGGAGAAGTTTTTGCTATAGGGCGCGTGCGCTCGCTAAAGACAGAGACAGAGTGACAGAAAGCGAAAAATCATGCCACAATCCATTCTCCTCCACTCTTCCCTCAGGATCTCGGGCACGCACGCACATGCGCCATGTGAGTTCAAGCCACTGGGTCTGGGACTCGAACCGCAGTCAACTACATGGGAGTCCAGAGACGTGGGCATTATGCTACTGCTGGTCTGGAGGAACAGAGATTGAAGCATGATCACAACTCATTTGGAGGTGCATTTTCTCTCCCCCTATTTCCGGCAGTTAAAAAAAAAAAAAAGGAAAATGAGCAGACTAGAAAAAGAAAGCCACTGATCCTCCTTCCTGGTAAGAGTAGACAATGCTGTTGGTCCTTTAACTTGGATGCTCCTGAACACTCTCTAGTAACGATAAGACACAAGCTGCCTGCCTAATTTTAAAATTTCAAGTAATTACAGTAAAAACACAAAAACGTGTGAAACTAATTTCAGTCTTTTATTTTAATATATCACATCCAAAAACCATTTAAACATATAAACCATTTTTAAAAATAATCATTTAATTTTATTTATTCATTCATTTATTTTAATTTCACCAGAGAGAGACACACAGAGAGAGAAGGAAAGTGAGAAAGCAAGCTGTCAGGTCCGGGACTCGAACCACGGTCAGCCATGTGGGAGTGTTCAGCGCTTTAACCACTACGCCACCTGCAGGTTCCATATAAACTATTATTAACAATGATATTTCACACTGTGTGGCAGAGGTATTACCTTCAAACTTAGTGTGCTTTTCTCATCTGTATTTAGATTTCACAAAATGTTTAAGTTCATCAAAATAGATTCACATACCCAAATTCTTGACATAAAGTTTCCAGACAATGAAACAGAGCTGTTAGTCTTTAAATAAACTTAAAAGTTCAGTTGTGCTGGCTACGTTTCAAGTGCACTGCACATATGGCTAGTGGCTGCTGTACTGGATAACGGAGATGCAGAGAAGTCGTTTGTCCTCCTGGGGTCCGGGGACTAGCAGCACCACTGAGGAACTTGCTCTAAGTACAAGTTTTTAAGAGTCTACGCCAGACCACAGAGGCAGAAACTCTGGGGCTGGGGCTCAGCACTCTCTCAGAGCCCACGAAGTGTTTGGTGCACGCTGAAGCTTGAGCACCACTGGCCCAGAGAAACCACCATTAAGTAAGACAGCACAGAAGTCGTTTTTATCACCTACATGTAGAAAGGAAAGCAGTACAAATCCCCGCCCCATATATTTTGAGGGTACAAAACCAGGGACTAAAAGTTCTTGCTTGGATTTTGCTAATCAGGGACAGTAAACTATCTCAATGGGAGGTCTGGAATGTATGGCTGGATTACATACATTAAGGAGGTTGAGATCAGGACTGGGGTCAGATGACCTGTCTCACCTCACTTCCTGACACCTAAGGTCCCGGGAAATGCAAACTCCCGACATGCATCAAAGCTGTCAGTATAGCTTCAATTCCAGTGTTAATTATTAATGTTCGTATTATTCACCACTGCGTGAGGTCACAGCCAGCAGCAGACAGAATGTCAGGCCATGGAAGGTGTACTTATTCTTCATCTCATCCATGAAGGCTAGCTTATCCCTCGCTCCACACCCTGGTCTGGGTTTTCTGCTCTTTGAAACTCTAAAACCAAGCCCCCCTATAATCTCCACTGCTCAAGGAAGCACTCTTTCTACTACTGCAGTTTTAAGTCACTTCTAGAAGTTCCTATTACTTCGACATCAGACAGAGCTTTGACTTGGACAGCTGGCATGTTGTAACACTGTCTTCCTGGTGTTGAAATGGTGTTCAGGTACAAACACGCTGTCTCACAGGTTGACCTATGCCTATTTTAAGAAGTCAGCTGTGGCAGAAATGGCAATTAAGTCCATCAAAACAAACGTCCTTCTTTCAGAGTCCTAGCCTCTTTGGAGGCAGGAATGGCCCATGGCTATTCTTAGGGGATGTGAGTGGAGGGCTGCAGGCCACCTCTAGACAAGGACACCTATCAAGGCAGGAGAGGCCCTCCCTCATCTCTGGGCTCAGACACATTACAGAAGTCACAAGGTAAAGCCAGAGCTGTGGTCAGCTGTGTGGTGTCTAAGTGACAGAAACTTCCAGAAGACTGGGTCCCTGACTGACTCCATCCAGGGGATGGAGCTCCTTTGCTCTTTAAGCCACTTTACATCATTGTTATAATAACTTAACCCACCTGGGACCATCATTTATTATCTTTCTGGTTGTTTATTTTGCCAAATAATTTTTATCTTTTATTAGAAACGTTTTAATAAACTTTCCAACTGTCTGCCTAGGGCATAAAAGTTATCTACAAACTTAGAATGATACACAAAAATAAGCTAGTAGGCCAGCGTGAACAGGCAGTCAGGTCATCTCTGTACTTTCCACCTACAAGAGAACAAAAAGAAAGTTTGTTTTAGAGATTTGTCTTGATTCTCTAAAAATAACTGATCATATAAAAGGATCTTAGAAGCCAAACAAGATACTTTAGAAATGAGCTGTAAAGTGTTACTGCTTGATGTGACCTTGTGCTGAGATGAAGTGCATTTATAACTGGGGTTCGAGTCTGTAACACCCCTCCTTGTGATGAAGTTATATACTACTGGAACATGTCGCTTTACATGCTCAGTTATTAAGTGCATCACACTGTCTTTTCAATAATCCCACTGGGACAAAACTACAACACCCGTCATAATTGTGACTGCACGTGACTACCCGCCACTCGGCCTAATAAATACCTGAATCGCTGGGCCAACCGACTGGCAGACAGGGCACCCGCAGCTCCTGGCAGCCTGGATTCAGACGCTCTCGTTACTGAACACCTACACAGAAAGCTTAGATCAGTATCCATTCAACCTCCTTCAAGGGCTTACCAAGAAAATCCACACAGGTTTATGCAGTTAGGCAGCTAACCCACAGGCTGGTTTAGGTGTGGACACCATGAGAAACAATCAAATGCAATTACAAAGTAATTTATGCTTCCATTTTATTCAACAGGAAGTTCAGTCAGATGTTTCCTCTGATTTGACAAAGGTACTAGTGTTGGAGTTGAACTGGGTCTCTCAAGACACATGCTGAAGTCCTAACCTCCAGCTCCTCAGAATATGACAGCAGGCAGCGTCTTTACAGAGATAAGTCAAGTTAAAAGACCATTAGGTGAGCCTGTGACTAGTGTCCTTACGAAAACAGGGTTAGGGCACAGACACATACAGAAAGAATACTGCAGGAACATGAAGGCAGTAGCCGGGGTGATGGATCTACAAGTCAGGGAGCACCAAAGACTGCCCAGAAGCTGAGAGAAGCTAGAGGGAGACAAGGAGCAGATTTCCCCTCTCAGCCCTTGGAGGGAGTCAACCCTGCTGCCACTGTGATCTCAGACCTCCAGCTCCAGGACTGTGAAAGAATACACTTCTATAGTTTTAAGCTACGCAGTTGGTAGAGCTTTGTCATGGCAGTCACAGAAAACTAATGCAAGTACAATTTAGTTTAAATATTTTTGGGGGGCTGAAGGGTATACACATAGGGTAGAGGGGGTGACCCCCAATAGAGCCTGGACACATAGCAATCTTGTTTGCCTCCAATTTTTTATCCCCTCAGAATCCTGGGCATTCATATGCCCAGAAAATTGTCACCAGGGTTGGAATTTGAACCCAGGTAGGCCGTGTGGGACTGGCTTCCTCTGCACGGCACTTAACAACTATGCTGAGGGGCTGGCCCTAGAATCCAATTTTATTACACTCACCCCAACTCCTATAGTAAATATTTGAAATCAACAACAATCAATGCTCCAAAGTGTTCCATTCCCTCTTAGAATTTAAGCTGCTTTTACTTATGTCACTGTTAAGCCAGCTCCATCATAACAAAGTCTCTTCTCACCCAGCTTTGCAATTGTGGTCCAGAGGGTGTCTATGCTGAATACAGAAGTTGCCACAACACTGGGCACAAGCCACCTGCAGCATCTCTTTCTTCTTGCATCCCTCTTTTGAGCATCGGTATGTAAAAATCTGAGAAAGCAAGTTATTTCAGTATTTCAATACAGCAAGATCATTTGCATTTAAACTAAAAACAGCTCTTTACCCACACAGAACAAAGATGTCAAACTTATATTCAAATATCTTAGTGGAGTTGAAAAGACCAATGCTAATGAAAAAAAAAAAAAAAGAAAGGAAGGGAGGGAGGAAGGAAGGAAGGAAGGAAGAAAAGGTAAGACAAAAGGGGAGTGAGACTCTGCGAGGGAAAGAAGCCAAGCAAGAATGCAACAAGCACAGCTCAACATGATGACAGGCTCTGGGGAGTTCTGGGGACAGTGGAGGTTGTTCCATCAGGGGCAAGGGAGCTGGCATATCCATGTCCCCCCACACCTGGGAGTCGTCTTTTTTGGGGGGAGTGGGGGGGGTAGAAGGTAATATAAATTCCTAGGCACTTCCATCTCTGAGAATGCAAGAGGGTAAGCGAAGGGAAGAGTGTCCAGTACTCTGAGGACAGATGGGCGGGGTAGCTGTTGCCAGTGACCGTCTAGCAGGAGTTTGCACACACAAAGTGCACCAACACAGGGATGAGTGCCGAGTGCAGGAGCCAGAGCAAAGTGTACTAGGAATACAAAGGCACACCTGTGCCAGAGGAGGACCGGAGCAGTGGGATACAGGTGGTCCTCCTTGGTTGAGTCAAGAATGAGGACCCATCTGGGAGACGCAGCATCCCAGGCAAAGCAATGGTCTTGCCAAGGAATTTCAAAGGACTTCCAGGAGGCCTGGAGGGCAAAGGCCCAGGTGCACAGCAACAGCAGCACAGAAGGAACAAGGCTAGGAAGGGGAACTGGTGTAAGCTTCTGTACAAAGGGCTTTTGTGGGAGATCAAGGAATAGAGTTTATTCTCTCACATTTGATGTGCAAATAAAAAGTTCATGGGCCTTAAGTTTATTTATGGTAATAAAAATATAAAATATTTACTACAATGTATTAAGAAACTGAAAACTACAAACCTAGATCTATCACTAGACACTGATTTAAGCTTGACACACTCAAGTCCCTAATAGAATGGCTCTCTAAAAAGCCAAAAGTTGGGATCCAACAGGTGGTGTGGTGGTTAAGGTGCTAGACACTCCCACATGGCCAACCATGGTTCAAGTCCTGGATCTGATGGTTTGCTTTCTCACTTACCTTCTCTCTCCCCCTCTTTCTCTCGTCAAATTAAAATAAGTGAATAAATAAATAAATAAGACAAAAGTTACCTACGTGTTTATTTTGAAGAGCAAGGACAGGAGAGGGGGCAGGCATCTGATAAAGTAGCCAGCTTCAGGAAAAAACAGCCTGAATAAACTAGAAAACCCCACAGGGAGGAAGAGGTGCAGAGTTGGCCCAGAGGAGACTGCTCTGGGGAAGGCTCACGAGGCTCTGCAAGTGTGAAGTCCCAGGGGAAAGCAGAGTGCCATGGACATGTAAGCTACAAAAGGCAGGCTGAAAGGAATCTCCTTGGACATCTGATGAATGGCAGGGATCTGAACACATGTATTGGTTCGGACACCCTGAAACACCATGAAAGTGTCAGAAAAGACCTTTTCTGAAAGAGGGATAAACCACTAGGGCTGGAATAAAAAGACAACAGCTAAAAAGAACATGAATGAGTAGTAACAGACCTGGAAGGTAAGAGAAAGACAAACTCTAAGTGGTAGAAGGCCAAGAAGCAACCCTACTTACAACTCCAAAGGCTCAGAAACAGGTACTAGAAAACCAGGTGGAGTGGGACTACAACAGAGAAAGAAGTGGCTACAAGTGTGTTTAAGAAACAGACTCTGGTAGGACCAGAAGGTGGCATAGTGGTTAAGATGCTGGACTCCCATATAGTTGACCGTGGTTCAAGTTCCAGACCCAGGGGCTTGAAACTCACATTAGGCACGTGTGTGTGTGTGTGCATGCCCAAAATCTCAAGAGGAGAATGAAGAAAGGATTGCAGCATGGTCATCCCTCTTGGAGGGTGATTTCTTACTTTCTGTCTCTATAGCAAGCACACATGCCCTATAGCAAAACTCTTAAAAAAAAAGAAAGAAAGAAAGAAACAAACAAACAAACAAACAAACAGACCCCAGGGCCAGCAGGTTGTTTAGCAGTTAAGGCACTGGGCTCTCACATGGCTGACCGTGGTCTGAGTTCTGACCTCATGGTTAGAAACTCTCACTGGGTGTGTGTGCATGCACGTCCCAAATCCCAAAAGAGTGGAGAAGGGATTACAGCATGGCCCTCCCACTAGGGGATGATTTCTCTCTCTCTGTCTCTCTGGTGAGCACATGTGGTCTATAGCAAAAATCTAAAAAAAGAAAGAAAGAAAGAAACCCCAAGATCTCCACTCAGCACCCCGAGAATTTTTACATGTATATGTGGAAAGGGTCAGATAGAGGCTATGCCCAAAGGAAGCACAGTGGTAAAAAGGTCCCTCAAAAGACAGAGAGGACTATGGAGGACAGTAATGAGAAAGGCACTACAGGGATATCTGGTTGCTCTCTCCACCTAACTCCTAGTACTCTGAAAAGCCAGGGGAACATCCTCCAAGCAGGAAGATGGAATACCTTCTCTGGGGAATCCAATCAGCCAGAAACACCCAGTTACAAATCTCAGGGGCTTTCTGAGGGAGTGAATCAGAGAGATAACACACAGCCAAAGCCAGAGTTCTCTCTGCACCTAATAAGCAGCCAGCTCCAGAGCAGGCATGTGAGGAAGGCATTTACTATGACACACGGAGGACAGATCCTATAGGATGAGAAGCCTGTCCCAGGCTCTAGCACCAAGTCCTAGGAATCTGCTTAGTGGAGAGAAGGTAATATTCCAGAATCCAAAGACTGGAGAACATGCTTCCACTAAAATAAGGAATCAACGAAGAAAGGGAAAAATGCAGGACATAGAAAACTCTGATCAAGAGAGAAAAACAAAGAGAATCTCAAAGCTCTTATTCTCAAGGTGACAGAGGCCTGAAACACTCACCCTAACACAGCTTAACCCCACCAGGAGGAGAAATTATCTAGTGTCAGAACAGGGAGAGGTGTTAACTCCTCAGTGTACAGGGTAATAAACAGGTAATGCCTAAAATTAAAGCATGAAAAATGATACAAAAGTATACTCATTGGGAGAAAAAGTAGTTACCACAAACAACCAAATAAGGGTGGGTAAATGTTCAAAGTACTTGCCTGTGGGGAATAGGGCCCTCTAGCTTTTCGTATCAAACTTTACTCAAATTGAACAGATGAATAACTTTAAAAAAAAAATACTGGGCCAGTCAGTGGCATGCTGGTTAAAGGGTATGGATCCCACACAGCCAACTGCACAGTTCCAAGCTCTGAACCTGGGAGCTTGAGAAACATACCGGGTGCATGTGAGGACTTGCCCAAAATCCCAAGAGGAAAATGAAGAAGGGAACGCTAGCGGTGCTTTCTCACTCTACCTGGCCCCATCTCTCTAGGAGGTACACACCCACTACAGCACAATCACCAAAAATAAATAACATATAAAACAAAATAAAAATATTGATGCTGCTAAAACAAGGAAAGTATATGGATGAATTTTCTATCTTATGTTTTAAGCCTAGGAGCTTAGGAAACATACATTAACAGAATGATTCTAGAAAACCATAGTAACTCTATTGTAGAAGGAAAACTGTCTCTATTAAAAAAAAGAAGACCCTAACCTGGGACTCCTAATATTTACAGAGTATGTTTATGTAACTATAAAAACATGTCATGAACAACACAGGAAAACATCAATATATACCATTAGAACTTTACATAAACTATTGGGATTAATTTTCATATTTACAAGACTGATCATTCCCCCTGCTCCCAAGAAAAAAACAATTTTCTCAGGTCACAAAATTGGTATAGAACTTGACCTTACCTTCTCCTTATTCTTCCCAGGATGGTAGTTACAATCTCTGTCAATGTGCTCACCAACGACCACATCTGGTATCTCTCCCTTTTTTATTGGGATGGGGGTGTTACAAAGTGGGCATACTGGGACCTGAACATCCTAAAAATAAGGAATACAAGATACTTGAAATTCAAACAATCAAAACTCACTAAAGAAACAAAAGATAAAGGTACTGGGATCAACAGTTAGTGTAATGGCTACGTCGCTGGACTCCCATGTAGTCGATTGTGGTTCAAGTCCCAGACCTGGTGGCTTAAAACTCACGCCAGGTATGTGTGCGTTCACACCCAAGATCCCGAGAGGAGAACGGAGGGGAAGGGATTGTGGCGTGGCCATCCCCGCTGGGGGTTGATTTCTTGCTTTCTCTCTCTCTCTGGTGAGCGCACGTGCCCTTTAACAAAAACCTCTCCCCCCCAAAAAAAAATAAAATAAAAAAAGAAAGAAAATGGTACAATCGTATAATACACTTAAACACAAACAGAGCACAAAAACTGATATCCTAACCACTGGTGAGAATAAAGCAGCCTCGGCATAATGGTTACTGGAAAGGCAGCTCTAGAACTTGAGGGTAAGGTGCCTTGAGTAGAACCCAATGGAATCTAAATATAATGAACTATCAACCAGCTGCAAAAATGTCCCTAATGGCATAAAAGGCAGCAAAGGGAGAAAGCTGGTGAAAGCAATCATCATTTACTGTCTCAGGATGTAGGCATATCTATCTAGCACCATCTAATTGAGAGGAAAATGCCCAAACATCTCCAGAGTGAGATGACAGACAAAAACATTAACCATAAAGATCCTCCAGGTCACTTCAGTTGCCAGCAGCCTCTCTGGTCCTTTTGTTTTTTCTATAGGGTGTATACACTGGCCAGAAAGACAGAGACAGACAGAAAGACCAAAAGCAAGAAATCAACCCCCTGGGGGGATGGCCACTCCGCAATCCCTTCTCCTCTCAGGATCTTGAGCACACACGCACATGCACCTGGTGTGAGTTTAAGCCACTGGGTCTGAGACTCGAACTGCAGTTGACTACATGGGAGTCCAGCAATATAGCCATTACGCTATCTGCTGGTCCCATCCTCTCTGGTCGTTTTGAGGCTTCTTATGTGGCTCTTACACAAAGGGAGTGACTCACGACCAGTGAGAACACACATAGCCTAGGTTCTCCAGTAATTAACTACCATCACTGACTGCAAGCTCAAGACTGTGAGGCTCTGGAGGAAGTGATTGGAGCAGCCAGTAACTGAAAGCCCAGCATGACTAAAAAACAAAACAAAAAACACTGGGCCAAGACAAAGTTAAAACAACAGTCAATGAGAAATCTGAAGTGCAGCTGACATCAGATGGCCAGCACATAATCACAGAATCAGAGGGGCCTACTGTCTGTGGGCTGAGTTGGCAGAGTCCCTCAACTGGCAAGTGTGCAAAATTAAGAAGTAAAGCATTACTGGGACCAGCAGTTAGAGTAATGGCTATGTTGCTGGACTCCCATGTAGTCGACCGCAGTTTGAGTCTCAGACCTGGTGGCTTAAACTCACGCCGGGCGCATGTGCGTGCGTGCTCAAGATCCTGAGAGGAGAATGGAGGAGAAGGGATTGTGGGGTGGCCATCCCCCCTAGGGGGTGATTTCTCGCTTTCTACCTCTCTGTCTCTCTGGCGAGTGAGTGCATGCACCCTATAGCAAAAACCTCTCTTAAAAAAAAAAAAAGGAGTAGTAAAGCATTACTAAGTGATATCCAGTCAGACTTGACCCTTACAGAGACATGGAAAGGTTCAGCTGACAGGACCTGGGTAGTACAGCTGAGTCACCAGGGCCTGGTGAATATGGAGAGGGTGAGTAACCCTTCCTGCCCCACCATGATGACCTAAGAAAGGCCAAAGGGTGAGGCCCTGGCCGACACTAATGAAAGCATATGATGCTAAGTCATCCACATTTTTATTTTCTTCTTTCCTTTTCTTTCTTCTTCTTCTTTTTTTTTTTTTTTTTTTGGTAGTTTTTGCTATAGGGCACATGAGCTCACTTCAGAGTCATAGAGAGTGTGAGAGAGAGGGAGGGAGAGAAAATAGAAATCACCCCCCAGGGGGATAACCACACCCTAATCCTTCCTCCTCCGGTCTCCTCTCAGGATTTTGGACAAGCTTGCACATGTGCCCAGCATGTTTTTCAAGTCACCAGGTCCAGGACTCAAAATGCTCAGCCAGTCATGTGGGACCTAGCAACTTAACTTCCATGCCACCTGCAGGCCCAACATCCACATTTCTAAGTTCAGAGTTCACTAAAATAATCTGTGACCCACCCATGATCAAAGTGAACATGAGCTGGGAGCCACCTGAAAAGTAAGTAACAAAAGACTTAAGCATTCGGACTTAAGCCAAGTTCATTATTTTTTAAATAATTATTTTATTTTAAATTTTATTCATCATAATCATTATTATTTTAGTTGAACAGAGAGAGAGAAAGAGAGAGAGAGAGAAAAGGAAACTGAGAAGCAAGCCGCCAGGTCTGGGACTCGGCCAGCCATTTGGGAGTCCTGCACCTTAACCACCACACCGCCTGCAGGCCCCAGGTTAGTCTTCTTAAAGTCATCACCCAGCATCTAATAGTGTACTATTTGAAATCACCCAAATAAAAAGATAAGGCTATAAAGTTACCCAAAGAAATAAATATGCCTTCCCGATTCGATTCTGCAAGAAGTATTAAAACATTTCTTGCATCCCATGAAGATACAGCTATATTTTCCCTTGGTGTCATGAATCAAAGAAACAAGCATTTTAACATATAAAGCAAGTTCTGACAGGTCATAACAATTTGACTCTGAGAGTCTGGAAATATAGTATCAGTTACCTCACAGCCAGCTATCCATCAGCACTTCCTTGCGACAGTGGAAATGCTTTCTATCTGCCCTGTCCAATACAGTGCTTGCTGGCCATATGTGGTTACTGAACACTTGAAATGTGGCCAGTTTGAGAAATCAAATTTTACCATTTTATTTAATTTCCGTTAAATTAAATAGCCACATGTGGCTAGTGTCTATTATATTGGTGTGTAGCTTTAGACAGTGAAGATTAGAATCTTTTGGGAACCAGCAGTTAGCGTAATGGCTATGTTGCTGGACTCCCACGTAGTCGACCGCAGTTCGCGTCCCAGACCCGGTGGCTTACAATTCACGCCGGGCGCATGTGCGTGCGTGCGTGCCCAGGATCCCGACAGGAGAATGGAGGAGAAGGGATTGCGGTGTGACCATCCCCCCTGGGGGGTGATTTCTCGCTTTCTGTCTCTATGTCTCTCTCTGTCTGTCTGGCGAGATGAGTGGAAAACCCCCAAAAAAAAAAAAAAAAAAAAAGATTAGAATCTTTTGAATAAACGATGATGACTTACCTTCTTGAATGCAAAGGGACACTTATGTGCAGCATATGTAAAATGATCTTTACAGAAATCTTGTTTACATGCATCACATTTTAGTGGAAGAAAATCTAAAAGAAGATAAAAAAGTAGTAAAGTTTGTTTCCAAGACTAAGACAGGAGAATTCTATCAATAGATCATACTAAACAGGTATTGCCTACACTAAGTGCTTCATGCCTATAACTATATCCTGAGGTATTACGGGACAACTCGGGAGTTCATTAATTTCACAATGCCAAACAACATTTAAGAACCTGTTGAGTGCCAACACATCTGGAGGATTGTGAATTTAACAAAGTATTTGAGCAGCACGCTGTATCCACTCAGCCCTGGCAGCCAGCCTAGTACCAGACCTGGGTGGATGCTAAATCAGCCTGCCAAAGAGAAAACTGAACCTCATGGCAGCTTACCAATACTGGAAAGTCAGAGAGGCCCAGACACAGAATTATCAGCTAAGTAATGTAAGAGCCAGAGCTCTCCCACACGAAAGACAACAGTGTTATTTTCTGTTAATATTCTTGTAAAAGTGCTTACCTAGCTGCTTGCAAGTTTTTTCTGAACAATGCTTCCCCAAATCAGGAAACTCCATTATGAAAACAGTGTCAGAAACACAGATGGCAGTTAAATTTCACCTACAAGAATCAGAATAGTTAGGAGGAAAACATGAGTGCCTAAATTTAGTCACCAAGATTTGTAATTCACAAACAATAAATGCAAAGAAATATGCTCTGCAGGGAACAATAACTATCCAAGTCATCCTGGGCCCCTGAGCAAGAATAACGCATCACAAATGCTTTGTCTTTCAGGAAAAGAGGAAAATAGGAGTTGAAACACAAAATACAGTCCGCATCCATGCAGAATCAACCCCTTTAGGAAAGATGAATTACTTTTTTGTGTTGTTAGTTTCAAGTTTCTGAAGCTTACTCCAAATTGTGGTATTCCTTGAACTATTACTTTAACCCACACTGACAGGGGCTTCCCAAACTTCAATTTACACAGCTGCCAGGGAAAATGACAACCATGGTGACTGTCAAGTCATAATCTCATCTATTGAATATACTTGTTGACATAAACAAAACTCTGTTACTAGGTGCTAAGTCACATTAGTTAACTACACTATCCAAGGGGATTTAACTCTGTCCCTTAACTCAGTCTTTAACTCCCTCAAGTATTGAGTTTTATTTTGAACTTATTCCTTAATTACATCAACTCAAGTTGAACAGGGAGAAGGGCAAAGCTCTTAATTCACCACGGAAAACAGGCAATGAAGCTACTGCACTTGAGAGAGAATTTAAATCCATAGAAAGCAATCCTCCCAAGTTCCCCTCCAAGATCTGCCCCTTTATCAAACCACTCAAAACTCCTGTCCCTACAGAAGTATCTTTGGCTGAACCAATATACAGTGTATTCATGATGGGAAAATTTATTTGGTATGCTATGATACACAGTGATTGAATATGAAAAAAGAAAAAAATATTAAATAAACAAATTGCCCCAGCCTTCTAGGTTTTCTGAATTTAATTTGGGTCACTTAATGTCTTAAAATAAAGTCTTTGAATGGTGTTACTTTATTCATTTATACAATTTAATCTTCTGGACACCCACCCTTCTGCAACTATCTGCAGTTACTCCTGGACATACTTTTCCTTATTACCTTTATCACCTATACTTATTAGTAATAATCAGAGTCATGGTTAAAACATAGCAGTATTGGGGCTGGCAGGTGCTACAGTGGTAGCTGGGGTGCTGAGCTCCCACCTGGCTGACCCTCATTTAGGTCCCTGACAGCTTGCTTTCTCACTCTCTCTCTCTCTCTGGTCAGATTAAAAAATAATGATGACAAATAAAATTAAATAAGTAATTCTTTTAAAAAGCAGTATTTGTAAAATATTTTTGTATATATATATGTTCTAGAATTATTAATTTTGATCCCACTTTGTATTTTTATGTAAGAAATCTCTACAACTGTAAAGTAAAATGCAAACATTATCTATGAAGAATTAGAACTATATCTGTTACCGTTACATTTTAAAATAAATTATTTTAAAACTAGAAGAAACACACACACACTCCTGTCCCTACTAAAATTCAAGACCTAGGGGCCTTTTCCTGATCGCCCCATTGGCTTTCTCCAATCTCCCAGCGTTTTCTCCTATGCAGTTCTCTACGTCTAGTATATTCTAGCCCGATTTGACACCTACTTTTCCTCTCTGGTATCCATTCAAAATATCACTTCCTCCAAAGATTCCTCCTTAACACCCTCACCACTTCCATCTAAGTTACACAACCTTCACTCTTGAAGAATTCCCCATTCCTTCCCAAGTCACTTTACTATTAGCTCCACTGAACGGATCATTCACGAGGCGCACCTCGCACAGTGACCCGAGCAGCGGTTCCGAAATTCGTCCAAGAAATTGGCTAGACCTGACAGCACTCCTGAAATGAGCTTGCTCTAGACACTGCGGCAGTCTTGAGGAGTCATTCAGCACCAGATCCAGGGGAAGTCACTCTGCTGTGAAGCTAAGTAAGAAACGCTAGTACCTGAGTACTCGGGCAGGTGTACCCGGCTAAGCCCTGGCCGGCTCCGGTCCATACCTGGCTCTCGGCGGGGACCCAGGCTGCTCCAGCAAACAGTGGAAGGTGGCGAAGACGAAGAGCGATGCGTCCTTCTCCAGCCCTGGGGGGTGCGGAAGGTGAGGCAAAAACGAAGGGCGCCCCCGGTCCCCGTGTGGCTTCAGACGCACATCCGCCCCCACGAGAGAAGCCGGCATCGCGTTTCCTCCTACTCCCGGCCATTTATCCGCAGCAGCCTTGAACCAAACGTGTACGGCGCGCCCCTCCACGACACTCTCGGGCCAACCAATCCCGCCCCGCCGTGGCCAGCGGGTCTGGCGCGCCCAGGTTACGTCACCATAGTCTAGCCAATCCTGTTCCTCCGTAGCTCCATCAGTCCGCCCACTGCTCACCTCTCCGCCTCTCTTCCCGAACAGTCTGGCAGCTTCCGGCAGGCGGCGCGCTCCTGCTAAGTCACGGTGAGGTCGCTCTCTGCAGGTGCAGTTCGGCAGGACAGGGCCTGGAAGAGTAGGCCTACAGGGTAGAGCGCAGTTCCCGCGGGCGTTAGAAATCCCGGGTTAGCCTTGACCCGGCAGGTTTAGTCTCCAAGGATAAGGCTGCCCGGGGCAGAGGGTGGGAGGTCTCCCTGCCCATCTGAAGTTAACCTGAGTGTCATAGAAAGAAAGCCTCAGTTAAAAATAGTAAAATTTCAAATTTAGATAAAAATTGCAAAAATAGTACCAAAAATGTTTATATCCCCAATTTAACGTTTCGTTATCCCCAACTTAACGTTTCGTCTTATCGGTTCCATGGTATCCTGTCCCTCTACAAATACATAAACAAATCTGTAGTTGATTCTCTTCCTTCTCCGTAGTTGCATGCTGTCAAGTCCCAGCAAATACTGAACTAGTGGAAACTGAATTAGTTGAATTAGGTGTTTGTTAGCCTTGTTTTGTCTTCTTTAAGGACACCTTATTTGATGTTTACTGTAGGTTTATTTATATTGAATTTTTTGTCAACACTGTGTAGCTCGTGTCTGACATCAGTCGATCTAATGTATATTTTCTCCACTGGCGCATCACAGCGTTTTTGCACTGGGAAACGGAGCACTAGAGCACTAGTTGGAGGCCCTTTAAAAGGCAAAATCATTGGGCCACCTAGTGATTAAGGCACCTGGGTCCCACATGGCGGACTGAACTGTTTTAGTTGCAGACCAGCAGCTAGAAAAACACACTAGGTACATGTGAGTGCATATCCAACTTCCTGGGTTGCTGAAGTGGTCATCCTCCATGGGGATGTGCTTTGTTCACCCTTCCCCTTTCTTTGGAGTGCAAACGTGCCTTATAGCAAAAAAAAGTAAATAACGAGGGACTAGCAGTTGGGGTAATGGCTATGTTGCTGGGCTACCATGTAGTGGACCATGGTTCCAGTCCCAGACCCTGTGACTTAAACTCACGCCAGGGGCCAAAGATCCCAGGAAGAGATTAGAGGAGGAGGGGCGTGGCCATCCCCCCTGGGGGGTGATTTCTCCCTCCTCTCGCTTTCTGTCTCTGTCTTTCTGACAAATGCACTAGCCCTATAGCAAAAACCTCTCCAAAAAGAGAGAGAGAAAAAAATAAATAATGAAAGGTGAAATCACCAACCAAAAAGCATGATAATGTGGAAAACACGGTATTAAATAGCCTGTTTAAAGAATACTTGTTTGCAATGTGAAACAGGAAGGAAATATCATCTTGTTAAACTTAATAAATGCGTTAGGCACCTTCAGTTTCTCACTGCTTTGTACATAATGTAGTAGAATGACTCTACCTTTTTTGGTATTGATTTGGGGATTATAAATGAATTTTAGCAAGCGGGCAAATTCACAAACACAGAAGCCACAAATAGTGTATATATGTGTCTGTGGGATTTTTTTTTAAATACATGTATGGTTAACCTTTGAACAAAAGTTTAAACTGATGCTTAGATTGCTTTCAATGAATACTATAAATACAGCTTCACTTTCTTATGATTTTCTTAATATTTCATCTGGCTTACTTTACAGTAAGAGTACAATATATAGTAAGTATACAAAATAAATGTTAATCAACTGTTTGTGTTATCGGTAAGGCTTCCAATCAACAGTAGGCTATTAGTAGCTGAGTTTTGGGGGAGTTGAAACTTACATGCAATAGTCTGAGGCCACATAGGAGGCTTGGGTTCAATTCCTGGCCTACCCTAAAAAGCCAGTCATGGGGGCATGTGTCTACAGTCTCACAAATCCATAAACACCTTCCATTTTAACCCAATACCTGGGCACTCTTTCTAGCCTTCTACCTTTCCATGATTGTAAGTACTTCCTCCAGCAGTAAGAAACCTGGTTTTTATTGCTCTCAATATATTTTTATTTGATTATTATAACCTATCTCCCAAATACTCTGGCCAGCACTTACACCTACTACCCTTGCGCTTCCCCGCTTAGCCCTAACATATTTGAGCATTGGTAGGCAGCTGACTACATGGGAGTCCAGTGACATAACCATTAGGCCATCTGCTGGTCCCTAGGAAGATTTGTTTTTAAAGAAGAGCATTTACTAAGGAAGTATACCTATGAATACAAGTCTTTAAGATATTTATCTTATTCCTGGGCCAAACATCATGTATGTGTTACTATTATCCTTCTTCGTAACCCCCTTAGTATAGAACTTTAATTTCTCAGACTTGGGACCAGCAGATGGCATAGTGGTTAAGTTGCTGGACTCCCATGTAGTCTCCTACTATTGGAGTCTCAGACCTGGCAGCTTAAAACTCACACCAGGTGCGTGTGCGTGTATGTGACCAAAATCCTAAGAGGAGGGGCTTGGAAGGGTGGCATGGTGGTTAAGGGCGTTGGGCTCCCACATGGCTGACCATGGTTTGAGTCCCAGACCTGGCGGCTTGTTTTCTCTCTCTCTCTCTTTCTTGCTTTTTCTTTCTCTCACTCTGTCCCTCTCTGGTCAAATATAAATAAATAAATGAATAAATAAATAAAGTTAAATATAATAATTTTTTAAAAGAATTCCAAGAGGAGAATGGAGAAGATGGGATTGCAAGGTGGCCATCCTCCCTGGGGGGAGGGTGATTTCTCACTTTCTGTCTCTCTTTCTCTGGCAAGTGCACATGCCCTGTAGCAAAAATCTCTCTTAATAAAATATTTTCTCAGACCTTTTGAAAATACAAATATCTGTAACCTTAATGCTATAGGAACTCAAATTCCAAAAGTCAATTAGGAATGTTAAATAACCACTCTTCTGTGCTCTCTCTCTCTTTTTTAATTTGCCAGAGGGCATGTATGCTTACCAGAGAGAAGGAGAGACAAAAGAGGAAAAGCACCTGCTACTGGAGCATGGCTACATTATAATCCCCTCTCCTCCATTTCTCCAAACTGTCAGGACTTGAGGTGAGCTCACATACACACACACACACACACACACACACACACACATACTCACACAGCATGATTCCCCCCTGCCAGATCCAGGATCTGAACTTCCTGGTCAGCCATGTGGAATCTGACTCCCTTAATCTCTATACCACTGGGCCAGCCCCAACTCTTTTAGCTTCCACATAGGAGTGAGAACATGTGTTTTTTTCTTTCTGTTCCTAGTGTATTTCACTTAATATTATGTCCCATCAGGCTCATTATTATGTTGCCTTGAATGACAGGATTTCATTCTACTTTTTAAACATTTTTTTAGAGATTTTTGCTATAGGGTGCATGGACCCACAGGAGAGACAAAAAGACAGATGGCAAGAAATCACGCCCCAGGGGGTGGCCGTGCCACAGTCCCTTCTCCATTCTCCTCTCAGGATTTGGGACACACATGCACACACTCCCAGCATGAGTTTTAAGCTGCTGGGTCTAGGACTTGAATCATGGTCAACAATGTGGGAGTCCAGCAGTGTAATCATTATGCCATCTGCTGGTCCCAAGGACATATCACTATGAGGCAGAAGAGAAAAGCTGATGAATAAACAATTGGATACATGAGTCTGGAACTCAGATAAGTCTGGCCTAGAGAAAGAAAGGTGGAAATCATGAACATAAACATGGCAATTGAATACGTAAGTGTTAATGAGATTGCTTAGGGAAAGCATGCAATGTGCAGGAAGAGGGCCTGGGCTCTAAGCCTTAAGAAAATCCAATACTTAAAAACCAAAGAATGATGAACTGGTCAAGATGGCTGAGAATAAGCAACCACAGAACTTAAGATAAAAATAAGGAGAGGGACGTGTCATTGAAGCCAAAAGTAAAAGAGAACTCTTACAGCAGGAGAACTGCTTAACTGCCATTGCTCTCAGAGGACAAGATGAAGACAAGAAGTATCTGTTCTGTGTAGGGACAGGAAGGTCACTAGTGCCTTTAGAGTGGTCCCAAAGGTGGACGCAGAAGTCAGATTGAAATTAGTTAAGAGTGTAAGGTAAAGAAATGCAGTTCAGATAAACAAGTGAGGATATAGGCAGGAAAAGTTTGTACACCTAAAGGAAGAAGATAAATATGTTTTTCCTGTCCAGGCTGGTTAAACAGGTGACTTCCTATTGCCCATTTCCCATTGGACACTCTCTTCTGTTTGGACACATAGTCAATATTACCTTTATATGCATTATTCATATTCTCAACAAATATTTATTGGGTGCCTTCTGTGTGCACAGCACCCTATTAGGCCTCAAGAAAACACAGGCAAAGACTAAGGTGGGTTCCTATATCTTCCCAGGAGCTTATTTCTTGTTCTGAGAGGGAAAAAAAAAAAAGACTCATATCCTGAAATGGGTGGACAAGAAGTGTCAACATTGTATTTATGAGTTTGTGGAGCAGAGGTTATAATCATTATTAGAATACAAAGAAAAAACTTCCCATAGCATGTGAAGAAGTTGGCTAGAGTGTCTAGGGAAGTTTCACATGGAAGGAATATCCCAACAGGCCCTTGGAAATGGGGGAATTGGACTGGACAGGTGTGGGTGGAGAGATCGCTGGAGCCAAGATTATGGGTTGGCCAGGGCTCTTGATTGCAAATGACAAGAACAAACTCGATAGATTTTGTAAAAAGGGGAGTTTATTGGCTCCTAAATTTGTGTGCCTAGATCCAGGAACTTAGATGTCCTTGATATCTTCATATCTGAATGCTGGCCCCTCTGTCCTTACTGCACAGTGACCTCTTATCATAGGGCAGTAGCTGCAAGCTACTGACTTCACCTGGCCAACGTGGTGAGTATCTCCCAGCATGAGTACTGGAATTCATGGATAGACCCTGTTGGTTTGCTTGGGTCTTGTTTAGGACTGACTACACGTGTTTTTAACTGGGGGATTTGGGGATGCAAATGGGGTGCTAGTAATTTTTCTGGGTGCAGCTATGGTGGTATAAGTAGATAGGTATCACTGCAAGATGGCCAATGCCACATGGGATAACTAGGTTTGGTTCCCAGCCCAGTCTAAACAGGCCAGGTGCAGTGGTGCATGGCTATCATCCTAGCTAACTAGGAGGTTAGGGCAAGAATTACCACAATGTGATGACATCTTGTCAGGGAAAACAAAACAAAAACTTTATATATCTCTATTTCTCCCAGGACATAATGTCACAATAATCATAAGTATACTATATGTGGACACTGACTGATAATCCTGCCAGAGTTACATAAAATGAGGTAGAGGTACCAAAGGTGAACTAGTCCCTGTGGAGTTGATGCTAAATCATTTGGAATTACATTTGCTGGTTCTAGGATCTCAGCCAATCTTGAACCATGGGGTGGGAAACTAGCAAAGTAATGGTGCCATTAACAGACAAAGGAGGGATAGGAATTCTAGAATAATTAATGGATATTCACTGTTAGTAATGAGTTGGCAGTTCAGGAAAAAGGAGGGACGAAGACTAAAGAATAAAGCACAAAATTTGAAGTCAGGGTAACTAGATAAAGACAGATGACCTAGAATGTGATGCAGAGAAATATGAACTTCATTGAATTGATAATGAGCTATTTGTCCAATAACTGGTATATAAAACTAGTGTTTTGGGGGTCTGGCAGGTGGCATGGTGGTTAAGGGCACTGGACTCCCACATGACTGACTGCAGTTCGAGTCCCAGACCTGGCAGCTTGCTTTCTCATTTTCTCTCTCTTGTCAAATTAAAAAAAAAAAGTAAATAAAGTTAAATAAAATAATTCTTTAAAATGAAAAAACTAGTATTTGAGGAGACAAGTCTGGGAGTGAGTTGCAGGATGTATTGAGAAGATTCAGAGAAGATCTAAGATTGTATTAATGCAGTGCTAAACTTTTGAGGGTCTCAGTACGGTGGAAATGGAAAGGAAAGGATACAGTCAGAGACCAGTTGAAAGAAAAAAAATCAGAACTTCTTAGTCGATTGGACAGGAAGGACAGAGAAGAAAGACATACCAAACGTCAAGCTTAGAGAATCAGAAGAACTGGCAAGAATAAGGAGGTTACTATGGTCAGTAGTTGGAAGATGATGTAAGTCTGTTTGAAGTTAGTTGAATTGTGGAGAAGCTATGTGAATAGAAAAAACACAGGACTAGAATTAGAATAACAGCAGATGCCTTGGTGGTTAAGATGCTGAACTCCATGTTGCTGACCACAGTTTGAGCCCCAGATCCAGTGGCTTGAAATTCACGTTGGGCATGTGTGCATGTGTACCCAAAATCCTGAGAGGAGAGTGGTTGAGAAGGAATTGTGGCATGGCCATCTTCCCTGGGGGGTGATTTTTCACTCTCTGTCTCTATCTCTATCTCCAGTGAATGCTCATGTCCTAAAGCAAGAAAAAAAAAATCTAAAAAAAAAAAAAAAAAAGAATTAGAATACTATTGAAAGACAAGACAATGGATAAAGTAAAAAAAATTCTAAAAGATTAAAAAATAGCCAGAAGAGAGTCTGAAGAACATCCCAGATAGGGAAGAAGAAACAGAAATAGAACATATAGAGAGATGAAGAAAATTTGGGTGCAACATCAAAGGAAAGAAGAAGAGTAGCCAAGAACGTTGACTACCCTGAGGAATTCAGGAAATAGGAGGACTGGAAATCCTTCAGGGAGTCTGACCTGAAAGGATTTTTACGACCTTTGGAGAAGTCATTTCCTTATAATAGTGTAGTGCCCAGGCTAAACTAGGTTATGCTGTGAACAGACAGCATCAAATTATAGTGGATGAAAACAGAAGGAGTGTTTCTTGCTCACATTTCGTGTCCATAATATGTAGTTGAATGTCTTAGTCTGTTATTGTGTTGCTAAACAGAAATACTTGCTATTGGATGGTTTATAAAGAATAGAGATTAGAGTCAACCCAGTAACTCAGCGGTTAAGAGAGCCAGCTTCCACATGGCCAACAGCAGTTTGAATTCTAGTCCTGGTGGCTTGAAAAACATGCTGGATGTGTGTGTATGTGTGCCCAGAATCCTGAGAGGAAGGAAGGATGGAGGAAAAAGTATTATGTTGTGACCATGCCCCATTGGAGGATTCTCTCTCACTCTCTCTCTCTCTCTCCCTCTCTCTGACAAGCACACCTGCCCTCTGGCAATTAAAAAAAAAAAAAAGAATAGTCGTTTTTTTTTTTTAACTTTGATTTGATTTGATTTGATTGACTGATTGATTGATTTTTTTAGGTTTTTGTCATAGGGTCTATGTGCTGGCTAGGAGACATGCTCAGGATTTTGGGCAAATGTGCACATGCACCTGGTGTGATTTTCAAGTCACCAGGTACAGAACTCACACTGTGGTTGGCTATATGGGAGTCCAGTGCCTTAACCACATGTCACATGCTCACCCTAGAATAGTGGTTTATTTAACTCACGATTCTGGTGACTAGAAAGTCCAAAGGCATGGGGCCAGCATCAGGTTGGCCCCTGGTGCTACATTGCAACACGACCAACAGAAGCAGAGAAGAGAGCACATGCAAAGAGGAAGGAAACAGAATTCTCCACTTCCTCTGTTTGTCCCTTTCATGTCCCCAGTTGATTGGATACTGTTCGCCCATTAGGCCCTGCCTCTTAAAGGTTTTACCTCCTCCCAAAGCCAGTACCCTAGGTGACCAAGCTTCTACAATATAAAATCTTGGGGTTTATCCAAAGCATAGTATCAAGCTCTGCTCCATGTCATCCTCACCTCTGAGACCTAGAACTATATAAAAGCCACTCTTGGAAGTATTACTGGTTGCCTTGATAGAGAGAAAAAATGACTTTGGAGAAGCTCACACTGGCAATGAAATCCCTTACCTGTAAGTTTCACTTATTGCTTCTGTTTGCAACTCATTGGCAATAGCCAGTCATATGGCCTCGTTCAACAACAGACCAAGAATTATACACCTACTATGTGTCTGGAAGTAAGAGGACTGGAAATACTTGTATTAACAGTAAGAATGACTTACAGGGGCTGACTCCATGGTGCAGCCATCATGTACTACTTAAGAGAAGCTGGATCCCACATGGCAACTGTGGTTTGAGCCCCCAGATCAGCCCACCTGAAGCAGTCCAGGCATATGTACAAGTGCCCAAGAGCTGAAAGATTGGAGGACTGCAATCACAGCGTGACCAGACCCTGTGGAGGGTGCTTCTCTTTTTCTCTCTTTGTTATTCTCTCTTTTACACATATGTGCACGTGCACTCTATTGTAAATAATTTTTTAAAAAAGAATGACTTGGGAACCAGCAGTTAGCGTAATGGCTATGTCGCTGGACTCCCACGTAGTCGACTGTGGTTCGCGTCCCGGACCCGGTGGCTTGAAACTCACGCCGGGGGCGCGTGTGTGTATGCCCAAGATCCCGGGAGGAGAATGGAGGAGAAGGGATTGCAGCATGACCATCCCCCCTGGGGGGTGATTTCTCACTTTCTGTCTCTATGTCTCTCTCTGTCTGTCTGGCGAGTGCATGCGCCCTATAGCGAAAACCTCTCCAAAAAAAAGAGAATGACTTAACATATAGAATAGTGGTAAAGTTCAGATTTCAGACCAAAGGAACAGGTAGGTAGTAGAATTACTTGTTTAATGCTCAGTAATGGTATTGGCTCTGAATGGTGACCTTATTCTTGGTATTAGACTATAAGGACCCAGAGAAGGACTCTGCTGTTTAATTCTTTGTATATGATACTCACAACCTTGTTTTTTAATTAGGCTCCTCTATGTGACAAAAAGAGATCCTCAAATGACATTGGGGCTTTTTCCTAAGAACTCTCAGGGAAGAAGGATAAGCCAGAGGTTCTTGGTCTGCCTAAAGGTGAAGAAATATCCCTTTTAAAGTTCCAAGTGGCCGTATATGTGTTTGCATGGGCCTCATAATGAATGCAATCATGACTGTAAACTCTACTTAGGTAGATCCTCCTGCTACATCAGGTACTGAAGCAATTGTTTCCTAATGAACAGAAGCCTACTGCATGGGATGTTAGTCCCTGCTGGTCCTGTACTGCTCACCATGGCCACTAGGAGTCCTTTGTCCTTTTACTGACACCTTTTGCTTGTTCCCACAGGCTTCAGCACTGTCAGTCTGAGAGTCATTGAAGAAGATGGGTACTTCGAGTAAAAATTGCGAACACAAATCCACTCTGTATTCCCCTAGACATGTGATGCAGAGCATAAATATTTCATAGACAAAGACAGCGAGACACAGATTTTAATTCTGAAAAGTAATTATAAGATAAACTACAGGAGATGCAGCATATGATTTGCCTCATGACACATTTTTGAGTAAGCAAAAGCTGTGTGGAATAAGAAATAAACCTGTTCAGGTTCCCAAGTGGGTGGGAAGGAGTGGAATGGAGTAGAGACAACTTAATGTTTTGTTTTGGGTCTTTTTGTCATCTCTTAGTTTGTGATGTGATATTATCCAACACATGGGACCACTTTTATTATGGAATCTGGACCATGTGACTCTTCCCTACTCATCCCTTTTTATTTATTTATTTTTTTGAGAGGTTTTTGCTATAGGGCTCGTCACTTGCCAGAAAGACAGAGACAGAGAGAAAGAAAGCAAGAAATCACCCCCCAGGAGGGATGGCCACACTGCAGTCCCTTCTCCTCCATTCTCCTCTCAGGATCTTGGGCATGCATACACATGCGCCTGGAGTGAGTTTAAGCCACCGAGTCCGAGACTCAAACTGTGATCAACTACGTGGGAGTCTAGCGACATAGCCATTATGCCAACTGCTGGTCCCTCCCTACTCATCCCTTTTATGACAAACTAGGACTTCTGTTTCAATATCCTTCTAAATATTGCCAGAACCCTTTGTTCACTGTCTGTGGCATTCCCAGAAGTAAGGAATGAGTAGCTGCTTGTTGTTGATAATTGTCCATGTAAAAGTTTGTATATGGGGACCAGCAGTTGGCGTAATGGTTATGTTGCTGGACTCCCATGTAGTTGACCGCGGTTCGAGTCCTGGGCCCAGTGACTTAAACTTACAGCGGGAGCGTGTGTGTGTGTGTTGTGTGTGTGTGTGTGCCAAGATCCCAAGAGGGGAATGGAGAAGGGATTGCGGCACGGCCATCCCCCCTGCGGGGTGATTTCTTGCTTTATATCTCTCTGTCTTTCTGGTGAGCACACGCACCCTCTAGCAAAAACCTCTCCAAAAAAAAAAAAAAGTTTGTATATGACTTAAAATGCAAATACAAAATTAGAAAAGAGAAAAATGAAACAGTATCGAGGATGTGGTTAAAAAAAAAACTAACCTGATTAAGAAAAAGATAATAAAATAAAAAACACTAACCTTTGTAAGGATTCTTTTTGTGTGTGTGTGTGTGAGGTTTTTGTTATAGGGTGCGTGTGCTCGCCAGAAAGACAGAGGGAGACATAGAGACAGAAAACAAGACATCACCCACCATGGGGGATGGCCACGCCACAATCCCTTCTCCTCCATTCTCCTTTCAGGATCTTGGGCACAGACACACACACGGCATGAGTTTAAGCCTCCAGGTCCAGGACTCGATCCACGGTCATCTACATGGGAGTCCAGCGATATAGCCATTACGCAAACTGCTGGTTCCAGGACTCTTAACCTTCTGTCAGAGTAAGTCCTTTATTGGTGCTGAGTAACCAAGGCCGTGCATTGGTTTCCTTTAACCTTAGGAATCACGCCTTCCACGTAGAATTTATTCACTGATGTGAAATAGATCTGAATTCTCCTCTTTTCACCAAGAGGGGTCTTAGACCCAGTGTGTAAAGTTGGAAACCTCTGGAAGTGATGTTCTATCCTTGCAGACTGAAGTATGGACCGCATTAGTGGCAGAGATGAGATATGGACCACATTGCTGGCAGGTATGTGGTCCAAACCTTGCAGACTGAGGTATGGGCCACACTGGTGGCAGGGAGCCTGCAGCACACACCCAGGAGTGGAAAATGGGGGCACACAAACCGAATATGCAGTTTAGTTAACAGCAATGTGCCAACACTGATTTCTTGGTTTTCAGGAAAGTTAACATCAGGGGGATCTGGGTAAAGGGTATATGAGAATCCTCTGAGCTACCTTTATGATCTCTGTCAATGTAAAATGATTTCAGCATAAAAAGCTGAAATGTGAAGTTGCCTTTGTCTGCTAGATAACATTTTTCTTTCTTTTGGGAACCTTACTAAAAACACATCCAGCTACTGTCCCTTGGGGTGGAGCAGCAAAGGCAACTATCCGCTTACTTCATGGGGAATGAGAGTGGGTCTTCCCTCATAACCGACTAAGACAGGCACTAAATATTGGGTCGTCGGAAAAGTCATGACACATTTTTTGCACAGGAAACAAGAAACTACGGCATGACTCTTCTGACCACCCAGTACATTAACCTGAAGCTTTCAAGTGCGACTGCTTTTGCAACTAAAGCTAAAACCACCCTGTCTCGCAGAGGCATCGACATCTAAGGGAGGACCAGGCTGTCGGCATCGAGTACTCATTGGACGTGGAAGGAGGCACTGGGCAGTTAAGGTAGGAAATGGCACTTTGGGTTTTGTTGTTTATTGCTGGAGTGCGTGTGTGCTTGACGGAGAGGAGGAAGGAGAAAAAAACACACCTCAGAGTGGGGCATGGTAACGCTGCAATCCCTTTCTTCCATTTCTCCATCCCATCAGGATTCAGGGCGTGAGCGCACACGCACACAGATACACACGCCTGGTGTGTCTTCCAAGCTGCCAGAGCCGACTTAAACTGCAGTCAGTTATGTGGGAACTGGCCTTTTACACACAGCACTTTGCCACTCTGCTACAGAGGCAGTCGCATGGCTTTGGTTTGGATTTCAATCTTTACACCAAACTTATTGGGAGAAATAAAGAAACTGTTTTGAATCCACTGGAACATTTGTGGCCTTCCCTGTGTCTTTGTTTAAAAGGGCCAGTCACTCTCAGTTTGGCTCATACAGATACTGTCCCTTCTCACTTAGCAAGGATTATAGTCATACTATATCATTTATGGTAGTTCCATATCAAAAATGTCATTCTTGATTTCAGACTGTTCTGATCAAGCCCCACTAGCCCCTATCCCAGGATTCTTGGGCTTCTGTCCGTGGGGTAACTGGCCTAGCCCTGACCTAAAGAATAATGACGCAGTCATCAGTTGGTTTGCAAGTTTGTTTTGGTTCCTGAGTGAGTTCTGAATAAGTCATAATCATCCTGATTTCCCAGTGACTTTATGTTCTGTTCCTGGCCAGGCCCCTTTGCTACCCTCTTTCTATTAAATATTAAAGCTCCTGCCCCCTGGTGGCTCCATTCTGGAAGCAGCAGCAGAGTTTTTGTGGAATTACTCCTGCTGGTTGGCGGCAAGGTTTGTTCATTATTTGAATCTATGCCTATTGGCTAGGACTGCACACTGTCTCTTTTTTCCCCAAATATTAGTTTGAAATTGAGAGAGAATCAATTTGCCATGTAACCCAAAGGAAAAGGAGGACTCTCACTAATCTTGGTTGCCATATCTTGCTCTTTTTAACCCAGGGGAAACATTTGAGCCATGCAGGCCAGATTGGAGGGGTCTGTTAATGACCTACTTCACAACATGTATTTCTTTGGATGCTACTAAGAAAAACCAAAAGCATAGTATCTTAAAGTCTAAGTTGCATGGAGAGAGAGAACTTCTTTTTGCTTTCTCTGCCCCACCTCCTGCCACCTATTTATTTATTTATTTATTTTTATAAAAGAAAGAACAGCTCAGCCCAAAGCAGTTCCCAGTGCAGATGGAATGAGTGACAGAAACAACCGATGCATAGATGTCGGCAGGAGCCAGCGCATTCCTAGCTGGAGTTGTCCGGGAGACTGCCTATAGGAGGCGAGTGGGACAGCTGGTCTTTGAGGACACGGGGCTCTGACCTGTGAACAGGGAGGAGTCCTTGTCGTGGATACGGCATGAGTCAAGGGGACGTCCAGATATGGCCCTTCCCCTCATACCAGGCTCTTTCAGAGCGCCCAGCTGAAATCACTGTCACCATGCCGGCTGGCCACCGTGGACTGTCTTGCTGCAAGCACTGGATTCTTGAGGAAAACAGAAATGCCTCACAGTCTTCATGTGTCTGAAATAAGAACAAAGAGTCTCTTCCCAGAGGGACTCAGGTTCGCTTGGGTGTTGTTTGTACAGACTTTGCTCATTCCAAAGCAGGAATTACCTTGCCTTTTGTTGCTGACAGTCTAGCCCTCCCAGTCTGAACCAAGTTTGGCCATTCTAAAAGTGATTAGATGGAGAGCATGCGCCTGAAGGGAGAGAAGGAATGAAGGGGAGGGGTGAGGCTGTGTGCTCCAGGAGGCAGGGCAGCGGGAGGCAGGTGCAAACCTCCCAGGCAGCAGCCTCTGCCAGCCCAAGTCCCCGGCAGCACCAGTAACTCTCTGGGTTATTCTCTGGAAAGGGCTCCCGTGTCCTTCTCTGCCAGCAACTGAAACTATAAAGCAGACACTAATTGTAGCGATAAATTACCAGACCCTTCCCGGTGGGCCTTTGGGTCACAGGCAGCAAGGAGTACCCAGATCCTACCCCCAGAGAGTTCTGTCCTTCATTAAGCTTCTCTCTACTCACCCAGTGGTCAGCATGGGTCCTGAGTTAGCGATGAAGGCCCAGTGCTTGACAACAACTCCTCTGGCTTCTCTGGTAGCTCTTGGCAAGAGTTCAGACAGTGGGACCAGGTGGTGGCACAGCAATAACACACTGGACCCACATGGGAAAGGTCCTGGATTCACATCCTGGGGCCTCCCTGAGCACACTGGGTGCGCAGAGGAGACCAAGAGTAGACTGTGGAATGAAAAGCCTGCGTGGGTATCTGTCTGTCTGTCTGTCTCTCTCTCTCCCTCATAGAAGAGGAAAAAAAAATCCTTAAAGGTAGTAACTACTAGACAGAAAGGACCTTGATTTCCACCCTGTGCGAAGGGCAGTGCTAACAGGAATGCCAACTCTCCAACAGTACCCAGCGGTCCTGGTGCTTAGCAGGAAAATGTGAACCAACACTTCCGTGTTCAAGGAGAAACTCCCCCCAATGCCAAACGAATGCATTAAATTAGGAATTTGGAACTCTGTCCTCATGGTTTCAGTGTGAACTGAAGAGGAAGTGGCAGAATCTCACATTTCTGTGACACTCTTTTAGATGGGCAAGTAGACTGAGGGGCTGGAAAGCATGTGATTTGAGCCCAACCCCTCCTGGAGTTCACCTGGAGCGCCAAGTTCCCTTTCTCTCCTGTTATTGTTAGGCCTTTAATGTGAATGCAGAGGGGGGAGAGCAGGGCCCTCCAGAAAGCCTTTGAACATTTAGTCATGAGTGCTGCAGTGGGAAATTTGATAGGGCTGCTGTGTTGGGTGTGTGGCCACGAGGGTGGTGGGAGGCACTCGCTACACCATCCATCAGTCAGTGACAGAAAGCTGGACTCCACTGCGTTCCCCTGGGACTGAATTCTCTCTGGCTTAGGGGGATGTCTGAAGCTAATCGTGGGGCCAGGAAGCCGGCAGTGGGAGACCCAGGCCCTCCATCACACGGTCACGACACTCGCTCATCAGCTGCAGAGCGGCCTTAATGCCTCTTTTCTGTCCTTGCTCTCCAGGTCAAGCTTAACTCCCTGTCTTGTCTAAGAACGTTTAGTGCTCAAGTGTGCCTCACGCTTCCCTTCTGTGTCGCATCAGTTGTCATTGACTCAGCACGTCCCAAGTGCCTCTGTGAGATTGCCCAGAGCACACGTTAAAAACTCCTGTGATTGAAATCCATTCCTGTTAAGTCCAAGCAGGAAAGAGGACAGAAAATGCCAGGACAGCTAAATGGGGGCATAAAGAACCAGAACAACGTAGCTTTTACAAAATATAAACAGATTCAGGGAAGAGGAGAACAGACCTCAATAAAAACAGGCACAAACAAGGTAAATGAGTAATTATGCCCCCGTTGCTTCAGGAGCAGAACTCAATAAGCAGCTCTAAGTCTTCCTAACCCTGTCAATCCAGGCTCAGGAGTTTGGCGGGGATATAGGTCTTTATGAACTACGTGTGCACGTGCATTGAAATTGAGTGTTGCATTCACAGGATCCCATTCCTTTCCATTTTACCTGATACTCTCCTTTAGGGTAAAGGTATAAAACACATTTAAGGTTCTTTGCGTTTTTCCTGGCAATAATTGGCAGTTACTCAGCTCCTGTGGGTGCCATAAATAAGGAGCAGACAAGGAGACCAGGTTGCTGTCGTTAGCACTGGTTTTAACTGGATTGGACCAGTGTCAACTTGTATATTTGTCATGCTCTTGTTTGAGATCACCCCACCCACTTTATACCCCCCATTTTTTT